CTCCTTCTAGGGGGGATGGGATGGGTAAAAGACTGAAAAAAAATAGTCTCCTCTCCAAGGTGGTGGCTCCATATGACGGCACTTGCAAGTTCCTGTATTAGGGAAAGGCATTGTCCCTGGGACCTAGTATTGCTCATGGATTTCGACCTTTCCTCATTGGTCTGTGTAAAGATGATGTCCCTTGTATGTCTGGCCACTGTTCAACCTCCTGGAACCGATGACCAAAGCTTTGAGCTCTTCCTCCTGCTGTCAGAGCCCTAGTGTGTGCTCAGTGCTGGATGAGCCTGGCTGTCTGATCTGAATGTGTCTCCAGGCAAGGAGATCTACTCTGCCACTCCATGCCAAAGGGTCACTGGGCTTGTTAAAATATCCCCTGTAGACTTGCCTGATGACATCACCTTCTAATCTTCAGCAACATGGGAAATTTTAAAGTTTTAGGGTCCTTCCACGTCACATGGTAGCTGAAGGAGCCCCAAAACTCAGGACTTCCTTTTGTCTAACCATGTTGCACCCTTTGAAGGGGCTTCCTTTCAGTGTCCCGGAAGTGAGCAAAATCCCCCAAACTCGGTGCTCAGCTTTCCTCTCCAGGTGTGCAATGTATTTCTCTCTCTAGGATTTTCACTTGGAGGGAAGTGGTACATGTTGATAGCACTTTTGCTGCATTCCTTTTTCCTCTTCACTTTCCATTAGTTAGAAGAAGGGACACACATTCTCTTTCCTCTCTTTCAGTAGTTGGGACTTTATTTCAGCAAAGCATGCAATACACTCATAATCTAAGGCATCAGAGTTAAATCTTGGAATAGTACAGCTGGAGAGATAGCTCAGTGGTTAAGAGCACTGGCTGCTCTTCAGTTTCCAGTACCCACACGGAGGCTTACAATCTCTCTAACTGCAGTTCCAGGGGATTGGATCCCCGCTTTTGGCCTTTGGTGACACCAGGTAGGCACGGTGGTACACATATATACATGTGGGCAAAACACTCATACATGTACAATAAAAAATAAATAAACCAGGCTGGAGAGATGGCTCAGCGGTTAAGAACACTGGGTGTTCTTGCAGAAGACCCGGGTTCAAATCCCAGCACCCACAAGGCAGTTAACAACTGTCTGTAACTCCAGTTCCAGGGGATCCCTTGCAGAAGACCCATATTCAAATCCCAAGCACCAACATGGCAGTTAACAACTGTCCATAACTCCAGTTCCAGGGGATCCAACAGCCTCTTCTGTCCTCCATGGGCACTGCATGACACAGGTGCACTTACCTCCATGCAGGCAATACACACATACACATAAAAATAAGTACATAAGAAATAAATATTGAGTAAAAAAACCCCCCAAAAACCTAAAAGTAAATTTTAAAAATTCTTGGAGCACGAAAGGAGGCTAAAACATGGGAGTGTTTTTTTCTCTTCCCACAATGAAGTCTGGTCTTAAGCTGGTTGTATTTTATCATTTGAAGATCTGATTGTAAGATGCACTATTATTTTAGGTGCCACTAAGACAATGGTAAAGCACCTTGCTGCTAATTCTGTGTAAGGCGTGAATCAATCTCAGCACCTTCATGTTGCAGTGAAATGTCTTCCATTTATATCAGAGAACTTGGACTTCCTCCTGCCTTTAGTCAAAATTCTTGGCACATGATGACAAATCCTTTGCAAGGATCGCAGTAAAAAATGTAACGCAGTTTCACTAACGTGTCTTCTGTACAGCATTTGGTTCTCCAACAAAAATATGAATCACAATCATTTATCCAAGTGCAAATACTTGTTTTCCTTATGTGTTGAATTGTACAGCATTGTTTTGCTTTTGTGTCTTTCTATGATTACAATAATTCCTAAATTTAAATAAAAATCACTACAATTTTTTGGAGACAATTCAGATTGCAATCAAATTCAACCTGGAAGAAGACTTGTGACATAGGAACCAGGGTATAAGGAGATGAATGTTTTGAGGTTTTTGATGGTGGCCATGGGCAGCAGTGGCCGTACTGAGTCATCTGATGTGACTTGGTGGGCAACAGAAGCCCTGGAAGTTAATGTCTTTGAAGGAAGTGTGGAGAAGTAGAGGGGAAAACCAGGGTGTGTCACCTCATAGGTGCCTGGGTCACTCTCACGTCCTGCCTTCTTTTAATCCTCAGCCTGAAAGTCCCATTCTCAGCAAATCCTTACCTGGTCCACTAGGGGTTCAGTGAGGTCTTCTGTTGAGTGTCTCTCCTGGCAGAATAGCATGGAGCATTGTCTTGTCTTGACTTCTCCCCTCCTCTCCCTTTTCCTCCCCTCCCCTCCTTCCCTCCCCCTTTTCCATACCCCCCTCAACAGCATCTGGGCCAACCTCCCCCTCACTCATTGGAACTCTGAATATTTGCATTCTCTTAGATTCCAAATATTGAAAACTTCATTTCCAAGGAAACAAAATGAGAAATTAAGGTCTTTAGGGAACAAATTAATTAGCTCATGTGTCAGAGCCCTTATGAACAGGATTAGTACCCTTATAAAGGAGTCTGAGCCACCCTTAGAACACATGGGGCCTTGGGTTTGATCTCTAGAACAGAGAAGAGAGAGGAGGAGAGAAAGGGTAGGGAGCGAGAGAGAGAGCGAGAGAGAGGAGAGAGAGAGAGAGAGAGAGAGAGAGAGAGAGAGAGAGAGAGAGAGAGCGAGAGCACTGAGAGGCCTGAGAGATGAAAGGAAGAACCTGAGAGAGACCTCTTGTCCTGTGAGTAAGCAGTGTCAATGTGCCTTCTGTGAACCAGGACACAGGTCCTGACCAGGCATTGGTTTGACTGCTGCTTCGAGTTTTAGACTTCCCAGACTCTAGAATTCAGAGAAATAGTTTGTTATAGTAACCTGTATGTGTCACTTTCCTGTCTCTGATCGAAATACCTGATAGAAACAAGTTATGAGAAGAGAGATTTATTTTTGGCTCAGGATTTCAGTCCCTCCTAGTAGGGGAGGCATGGAGGGGTGGCTCGGTTTGTGACAGTGGAGCCTGTGGTACTGTTTATATGGCTCTAGAACTAGGGGGCTGGCTAATAGCCTTCAGAGGTCCATCCATAATGACCCACTTCTGCCATCTACCTCATCGTCTTCCAAAATAGCACCACCAGCCAGGGAACAAGGGTTCAAAACACGAGCCTGTGGAGGACATTTCAGAGTCAAACCTGAACACAACCTGAGCAGACTAAGTCACTGGACTGGCTCCACCTGGTGAGTGACATTGTATCATGGCTTTGTCACCAAGCCACACCACTTGACACTGGTAGACCTATCCTCCATACACCTATCTGATCTCATGCCTACCCTGCTCAGAACCTTCTGCTGATTTTTTGTTTGTTTGTTTGTATTTTGTTTGTTTTTTTTGAGAAAGGTCTCACTGTGTAACCCTGACTGGCCTGGCACTTGCTTATGTAGACCAGGCTAGCCTCAAACTCACAGAGATCCACCTGCCTCTGCCTCTAGAATGCTGGGCACGTCACCACACCTGACTGGCTCTTAAATCTCTGAGGCACAGCTTCTGGCCTTTCACACTTAGCTTCTCCCAGCCCCAAACTCCAGGTTGAGCTCAGGCCCTTACCCTGGGATTCTCCATAGTGAATACCTTCTCATCTTCATTCCTATGTTGAGTTGAAGTTCTCTGCAGATATTTGCCTTTCCTCCTCACTTTAACCTGAGAAGCCTGACTTCTCAGTCTTTTTATCACCTGCTAGCCCATGAGCTGTATTAAATTTCCGCTCTTTGAAGTACTAGGGTGGTTTCAGTTTTCCTGCCTGGTTGTGACTGATGTAACCTCCAAGGGAGGCAGGCGCTATTTATAATCCATTTAGGAGCTAGGCAGCCGAGTCTTGGGAAGGTCAGGGAACAAACTGCAGGTCTTACATCCATGGGCATGTGGATTCAAGGAACAGGCTGTCAAGCTGGGAAGTGGCCTTGGTTGCCAGGAGTTGGATTTGACCTTGTTGAGAGGTGGAGATCAGCAGAGACTTCACTCAGAAGGGACAGGAGTCAGGCATGGTGGCGCATGCCTATAATCCCAGCACTTGGGAGGCAGAGGCAGGCGGATCTCTGTGAGTTCGAGGCCAGCCTCTCTGCATTTGGGCGTCACGAGTTCAAGGCAAGCCTGGGCTACCAAAAAAAAAAAAAAAAAAAAAAAAAAAAAAAAAAAAAAAAAGAAGGGACAGGAGCAGAGATGTACTTTAGGAAAGTGTGCTCTGTGCTCTGTTAAAATTGTCTTCTGTCTCTCTAATTTTGACAAAAATCTTAGTTTAAAGAGGCAACAAAGTGCTTTGTAATCTCAGCTGCTTGAGAAGCTGAAATGGGAGGGTGTTAAATTTCAGGCCAGCCTGGGCACCATGGTATGTGCAAGAACACACACACACACACACACACACACACACACACACACACTCATGCCACACATGACCCACACCACACACATAAACACATACCACCCCCCCACCCCCCACCCCCCCATACATATGCATATACTCATGCCACACATACACCATACACACCACACATATACACACATACCACACACACACACACACAATACCACACAGACACACCACACATATACACACTACATACATACACATACCACACACGCACACTAAAGCAACAGCAAACTAGAAGAATATCTTGATTGATATTCATTCTGTTCTTATTCTTTTTAATTGTGAGCTGTATTTTCCTGCAGAATTAGCTAAGAAGTCCTTCATTAATGGGAACCATCTATCAAATTCAAGTTATTACCACATGCTTACCGAATCCCTTTCAACAGATAGTTTTCATGACCCTATATGCTCTGTGGTCATATATAATTCTTTTTCCCTCAGATCCTTTGGACCAAATGGTATACCAAAGTTACAAAATTAATCTATAAGATAGATTATTCATGAGACTATAAGATTTTCATCATACGTTTATACAAATGACTAATAATGTATATTTTAAGAATCATTAACAAATTTTAATTATGTGTACATATGTTTGTGTGTGAGTACAGGTGCCCGTGGAGTCCTGAAGAAACCATTGGATCCCTCTGCTGGAGTTACAGACAGTTGTGAGCCACTTGATTGGGTGCTGGGAACCAAACTCTGGTCCTTTGCGAGAGCAGCAAGAACACATAACCACAGAACCATCTCTTCGCCCCCCCATTTATGTTTTAATACCTGTTTAATTATGACTTGAAGGTGTACCTGGGTTTCTGATAGTCTTGCTCTAAAGACATAGGCTTTATCTTCAATGTTAATGTATTTTCACATGCAAACAACATTCTTTTATGTATTTAACTTCACCCCATTGGCTCTCCAGACCTGTAGATTCCACATTCACTGATTCAACCAACTACAGAAAAAAGTACTTTTAATTGCACCAGTACAAACATGGATGATTTGTTTCTTGTCATTATTCTCTGAACACTACAGTATAAAAATTATTTACACAGTGCTTACATTGTAACAGGAGTAAGAACTCCAGAGATAACACAAAGTGTGTGGGAAGATGTGTGAGGATTCCGACACCATTTCATGGATCCTGAGGGACAGCTGTGTTAGCATCCCTCAGTTTGTTATTTATTTAGATTAAAAACTAGACTCATACAACTTGTGGCATTCCTTTTTAATGCTAGCCCTTCTTTTTTTGGCTATATTTTTTAGCTTTCTATCTTTCTAAATTGGTATAGGATCAAAAAAGTACAGGTACTGATCAATTTGTAAAATTGTGGAAAATGAAAAGTGTCTATAATCCTTTTATGCCCGATGGTATAAAAACAGTTCTTGCATTCTACGTTTTTGGTGAGAGATCTTGTGAGTCCATGAGACTATGAACATGTCATGATTAAGTGCATGGATTCTGGAGCCCAGGTACAAACCCATTACTGACTTATTAGTAATTCATAATTAGATCTTGTGTAAATTTTTTATTAAGCTTCAAATGAGCAAATATTCCTTCCTTGGAGTCCTTCCCATTCTTGGGAGTTTTCCTCACTTTCTCTTAATAAACCTACACTTGTTCTGTTTAAAAAATAGTTTAAACTAGCATACATTAATTATACATAACAGTGGTTTCAGTAGGACATTTTTATGCATGTAGATAATGTATTTCGATCATATTCACCCTGCTGCCTCTTGTTCCCACCCACCCCCACTAACCCTCCTCTTCTCAGCTAGTTCCCTTCTACTTTCATGTCTTTTTTTTCTTTTGTAACCTAATAAGCAATTAGGTTTGTTTACAGGAGCACGGGCAGCTTACCAGTGCTGTATCACTAAGAAAAATGTCTTTCCTCCCCTAGCAGCCATTAACTGTCTATAATACCTCAGGGGGGAGGCAGGGCCTCATGACCCTCTGCCTCCTCCATGACAGAACGCTGACAGGCCCAATCCTGTGCAGGTGATCACAGCTGCTGAGCGTTCAGGAGTGCAACTGCCAGGTCATACCCAGAAGACAGCACTCCCCAGCACACCACCATTTCCTCCAGTTCTTAAATTCTTTTTCTTCTGCAGTGTTCTCTGAGCCTTAGAAGGAGAGCTATAGATTTCCGCTTAGGGCTGAGCATTCAACATTGACTATATATATA